ATGAACGCCATGGTTTCTTTTTGAAGGCCATTTCCTGTTGGCACTCTGACCCGTCCACAGCGACCCAGGTTAACGTCTATACCACACTGAAACCATATACCTGGTTTGGTAGCAGGTTGCATGATTGGTGCATAAAGCAGTTCTGTTTAAAAAGGCACTTTTGTGATTTATAGCATGCTCTTAAGGATTTACTTAAATTTTTACTGTCGTTTTTTTTTCTGCTACTACTATTTTCTCTCTCTATCCAGAATCAAGCTGTTAGAAATGTGCATTTTCTGTCACGGAAGCTGTGGAGAGAGACCAGCGAGACCCTATGCAATGCGGCAGGAATGGCTCAAGGTATTGGGCAGAATTGGGGATGAGACATGAGCCCCCAGGCAGCAGACGTGGGGCGACCTGGTGAGGCGAGCGAGGAGGAGAGGACAGACCGGAAGTAAACAGCACACCTCCACCAGATACACCGGAAGCACATGAACAGGCACAGGGAAGCAAGGAACAGGACAGTAAGGTGGAGCGCCCTCTAGGGTAGGAAGAGGGTCGTGACCGTACCACTCCCTTCAAGGGCGACTCCGGACCCCCATAACGTAGTAAGCTGCACTGGGGGAAGGAAAAACCTAATTGAACTGAAAGGAAACCTCCAGGAGTCCACAGCTGAGAGCTACCCCCTCCACCGGGGTAAACCTTCATTAGTAGAGGAAGGGGGAACCGGGCGGGCCTCCCAAGGACAGAGACAAAAACCAGCCAAAACATGTAAAAAATAACGTAAACAAAAATAACCCGGGAATCCGAGGCAACAAACAACACATGAAAAAAAATTACCCACAACATAAATAAACCCTGACGGAACAGGGGAACAAACAACACATTAAAAAAATAATGCACAGCCGATAAAACCACGAAATCCATGGGGACAAATGACACATAAAAAGACCAGGGAGACGGAACCAGAAGCCGGGGCGGCCAGGAAACCAGAAAAAACACCAGGGAGAAAGGGAACAGAGGCTAGGGAAGGCTGGAAACCAGAAGCCAGGGAGGCCAGAAGCGCTCACAGGGTCCAGTGCAGGAGCAGGATTCTGTCACGGAAGCAGGAGGCTAGGTGTGGAGAGAGACCGGAGAGACGAGAAGACCCTATGCGAAGCAGCAGGAACGGAGCAAACACGGGGGCTCAAGGTATGGGGCGGAGTCGGGGACGAGACATGAGCCCTCAGGGAGCGGGCGTGGGGGGGCCTGGTGAGGCGAGCAAGGAGAGGACAGACCGGAAGTAAACAGCACACCTCCACCAGATGCACTGGAAGCACAAGAACAGGCACGGGGAAGCAAGGAACAGGACAGAAAGGTGGAGCGCCCTCTAGGGGTAGGAAGAGGGTTGTGATATTTTCAAAGCATGTTTTGCACTTTCAGCCCGAGAACATGCATAACTGATTCCTACTTTACTAAATCTGTAAGATACTGCCAACCAGTAGCATTAAAATGACTGCACACAAGCATTTGACAGAAATCTAGTGATACATTTGTTAATCTAACTGATCTTGCTAGGCGTCCAGTTTGAAGATGTTTAATTACTATACTGTTTATTATCACCTACAGATTGCTAAGGCCCAGTAAAAAGTTCTGGCCATAATGTCACACTACTGACTGTGTGAAAATGCACTGATGGAATGGGTAATTTTAGAATTATTCTAACATCACTATCTCCCAAAATCATTTCATGGTTAACCCTAACTTCCCTAACTTAGAGAATTAGAGATTTTGGCTGCCTGCCAACAGCATTGCTAAGCTCTTGCAATAAAGGCCAGCATCTTACTCCTGGAATATTTGCCTCTTTCAAAATTATTTACAAGGGGACACAAAATATGTATCACCAATGCAGCTGCATCCTAACATTCAGCGGTGGGACAATATAACACTCTAATTTGAAAATCTGTGGAGCAAAAAAGAAAAGAAAAGGGATGACAGCAATGCAGGAAAAGTAAGTATATTCATTAAAACCTATCAGATTGTCTTCCTGTTCTATCAGTCGGCATCAAAACCATATGCAATCCAGGGAGAAACTACAAAGTGAAACCCCGGGCCTACAAAGGCGAGGTTTTTGATCACACTAATTAAAAGCCATTTTGTTTTAAACAAACAGACACAACTCTAATTGCCTTTTTTACATAAGAAAGGGAAGATCTTAAAAGTGAAAGCACGCAAAGGGAAGATCAGACAGACGCCTTTCAGGCAGATAAGCACGCTCAGTGTGAAATGGGCCAGATGAAGGCCTGGAACACTCCTGTAAATGGCAGGGAAAAAAAAACCTAGAGCTTCCCCTCAAAATACCAACCACAAACTTAAAGTTGCTGCAGCTCCCTTTATACAATTCACGAGGTTAAAAGGGATAACCTGGATATTTATTTTTTTTGGGGGGGGGGGGTGTTCGGCAATAATGAGGCCGCAGAAGTTTATTAATCCCTTGTACTTCTAAATACCATGTCTTCATGTAACAATGTAAATAGGAAGGTTTAATGTAATGTAAGAGGTCATTTTTAATAATAAAGGACCAGAGAGCAGACTTTTGCATAAAAGCCAAAATAATCGACTGCTGTGACACATCCCAGTGTCTTTACTTCATGTGCCTGAAATGTCATAGCCATACGGTCGAATAAACACATCATCTAGCAAATGCTTAATACAACTCTACCAATGGGTCCTTTCACATACAATCAGGACTCTTCAACATTATAACAGCTCTACCTCCTTTAACACACATTGGGCCCTTCCTCTCGAAACCAAAATATATTATTTATGCTTTAATTCAAATACCAGCTCAAAACCACCAAAGTGCTGTAACAGAAAAGATGGATGCTGCACTTCCAGTTAGCCTGACTAGACCAGTCACATTTTACAATTTACAGCTTTAAGTACTGTCTTCCTGTTTGACGCAAGTCCCTCAGGGCTATTCTGGGATCTGCTACCAGATGAAAATAATACTGTACATTACATGTTCGGGGATTTCCCCAGTATTCATATTTTTCTTATTTCTTGTTTTTTTGAGTCAATAAAACTGTAACTAAGCAGAATGAGTTCCCTTACTGGTAACAGAACTAAAATGAGTGGGTGATTTATTTAGTGACATATTTCTTTTTAAAAATTGACATTTTTCTCTCTTTTATTTAAATTATCATCATTGAAAAGAAAACAGTGACTTTCAGGCCATGTACGTCTGATTCAGCTTAGGGACGCATAACTGGGGTTTTACAAAAGATGTTCTGACATGAGGTTCTCTTTTCCTTTTTTGAGTTAAAGTTTGCTGTTGCCATAAGTGCTAAAAAATGAGGAAGTAAAGACAAACACAGTCTTCCAAATAAGTGGCGATTGGTTATGTGATAAAGACTCATTGTCTCCATCTTAACGTTCATGTCTGTACAACAGCTTACAAGATACAAATTCTCCACATCATTGCTTGCTTGAATATCTATTGGTTACACTATTAGATATCAGACAGATATTCAACCTCCATGTCAGTTTGTTATAACAATTTAAAAAACTGCAGCTTGCTACAACTATTATATTCAATAATGCAAAGTCCTCATTAGAGGTTTTCTATTAAATAAGAGAAACAATGTAATGGAAAAAAACATACAGAATGTATATTTCCTTTACATGCATAACGTATTCAGTGATGCAACTTTCTAAGACCTCAAAATGCTCATATCTGGTATCGCAATTCCAGTAAACCTGCTCATAGTATTTAAACTTACAGTTCCATTTTTAAAATTTCATAATTCTTCACTGTCCTGGACTTGAGCCTGCAAATTCCTGCTCGCTTTTCTCAATGATGACACTTCAGGACAAGAATAATGTAGGCATAGATATCACAGCATATAGGAAAATAAGTTATCTCCAACTTGCATCACTTCTAAAGAGATATTGGAATACATCATTGTGGTATAGCTGTACTTTGTCCAGTGAAATTGGCTTATATAGATATTACAAAGAACATTTTTCAGAGTTATTAGAGCAGAGATTTGTATGAAGCGTGGAATAAATAAATACAAATTAATATATTAGATAGGACATCTGATTTACTATGAATTTTAACAGGAATTGAAAGAGATCTTTATTGCAATACGATCTTTGTGTATGAGGGTAAAACAATTCAGCAATGAATTGCTAAAAAAAAACATTGTTGAAGGCATAGCTGAAAAAATCTCATTTATTGCTCTTTTGTTATAAGTCTTAATTTGTGTGATTACATGTTATTTTTTTCTCTTTAAATTGTTTTATGTCATGCTAATGATTTCAGTAAAAAGTACGTTATCATTGCAGAGTGCCCTAAAGCTCCCTAGTGAATCATTACTCTCCTCTGTCTGTGTGAAGAGGAGACACCTTTATGCAAAAGGAGAAATATGATTTAGGTTGCCTATCAAAAAAGCAATCAAATCAAAACCAACAAAAGACAATGAGAGCTAATGATATTGAAACAATAGGGGTACATAATAAAGACTGGTTAAACATTTTAAACTGCAAACAAGAATATTGAACTTTCCATTAAATATATAGTAAACCAGCTTCATAATCTCATTTTTAGCTGCGATTCATAGCCAACAGGCACTAAAACCACTAACTTTGCTTCACTACTAGTACAGAGGTTGACAGCCTACTGCAAGTGTGCCATTGTCGTCACGCAAAGAGATTTTTAATGGCTGTAATTCTCTACTACATGCTACCCAATGAAAGCTCTTTGGCATAGAAAACACTTGGTTTCACTTGGTTTATTAAATGCGTTATTTTTACAGAGTCTAGCCTACCGTTTTCATAGGAAAGCTCCCATTTCTGCGCGGCTGATAAAAGTTTTCTCACCTAAGTGTAAAGTACAACATTTTGGACAAAATTGAGGTTGCCAAAAAAGCAAAGGCAGTTGTTCGTTCATTTCAGCCCCTTTTGAGAGATGGATGTGGATTTGCTCAGTATAAAGACAATGCTGTTTGCACTCTAGTGCGTGGATATAAACGACTTACCGCAATTCTTGTGTGATACTGTGACTCAGATGGAATTCTAGAAGAGTTGTGCTGCCTAAAACCCTTGCATGGCACACCTAGAGGGAAAAATATAGCTAAGATGTTTATTAAGCATTTTGGGCATTCTGTACCAAGATGGGCTAATAAACTACTTTACTTGCCACATCAACCCCTTTTCAGATTGTATGTCATTTACATTAAATTATTCATGCATATTTAATATTTAACAGCTCACACTAAGTTATTTTGCTGTTTCACAAAAGTGACTGCAATTAATAAATAATACTGACAGGAAAAAGGAAAGTGCCACTCTGAAACCAAAGGGCAGGTACTGGTACTTTAGTTCATCAACTGGGAAGCTTAGGCTAAAAACATGCAGATCAACTGATAACTGCCTATAACATCAGCAGGGAATCCTCAGCTGAGAATTTAACAATACCTTCACTTGAAATATGATTAAGATGTTTTCTATAAGAAAATGGGAGACAGTGGACTTAACTGTGGATGGCAAAAAAAAAACTAAATTAGGCATTGAGAAGAAAATAATCAAAAATGACTTGGGACTAGCATTGCATGTCTCGGTACACTGATATTATATTACAAAGTACAGAAAGATTAATGCAGTCACACACTCAAAAACATAACTTGGTTACTATTTATCAAAGAAATACTACTATGTATCAATTAACACATACTACTCTATATAATAAATTATATTAAACAATTATTCACTTAATTTCTTAGACATGACTTTAAATAGCATATAATAGAAAAGAACAGCTATAAGATGTTTTAAAGGTTTTGACCAGAAAGGACCGGAGTCTAACTATATTGTGGACTATTCCTTTATTTACTGTACATACTGTAGCTTGCTTTTCAGTACTTATTGACACGGATCATAATTACAATTAAAACATGAACTAAATGATCTGAGTGAGATTTCATCTTAATAACATTAATATTAATAACATTAATAGCATAAGAAAGAAGGTTTCTCAGTCCGTCTAGTCAAGTTGGAAGTCAGTAGCTTTCAGTTCCTAGAGTCTTATGCAGCTGTTCAAGCCAAACTTGTGGGCTTCAGCCACATGGCTGGATAGGTTGTTCAAGGCTCCCACACCCCTTTGAACCCTTGAAGTTCCATGTAGTTTCCCCTTGGTCCCACTTGCATTTCACTGTTTAATCGGAATAAATTTGCAGGGTTGCCCCAGTCAGGGCTTTTGAGGATTCTGAATGCTTGTATCAGGTCCCCTCTTACTCTTCTCTGTTCAAGGCTAAAACGATTCAGTTCTTTCAGCATGATCGTGTAGAAAATTATTTTAAGTCCCAGAATGGATGTGGTTGTTCTTCACAGGACTGATTCCAGAGGAGCAATACATTTTTTGTAACATGGTTACCAAAACTGTATGCAATATTCTAAATGAGGCCTAACTATCACATTGTACAATTTTCACATAACATCTCTTGATTTGAATTACATATATACAGAATATAAATCAAATAAGCAATCCATCACAAAAAAAGTGATTAAAACAGCTTCCTCTGTACCAATAGTACTGCGTGCTAAAACTAAAATATCCCTCCATCCACCACAAGGTCTATCACCCCTGATCTCTAGATCAATTGATCTCTAGATCTCTATATTAAGTGCAAACTCAGCTTGTAAGACACTTCTTTCTAAAATGAACTATAATGTTCATATACAGTCAACTCAATAATTATTGGCACCCTTCATGAAACTGAGCAAAAATGAATGTATAAATTAAACAACACATACTGTACAATAAATCATATTTTGAGCTCAAACATATGGGGAAGCTGTAAACGTTCATTTTAATACAATAATTTTTCAAAAACAAAACATTTTATTGAGTAGTATCATTTTTTTCTGCTAAACATTGGTTTCAAAATTATTGGCACCCCTACAATTAATATTTGTCGAAGCCTCCCCTGGAGAGGATAACAGCACTGAGGTTGCAGCACACTTTTGGAGGGATCTTGGACCTCTCCTCCATGCAGAACATTTCAAGATCCTTGAGAGTCTTAGGTTTGTGCTTGTGGACTGCCCTCTTCAATTCAGGCCACAGGTTTCCAATAGGATTCAAGGCCGGAGACTGAGATGGCCATTGCAAAACATTGATTTTGTGTTCCCGCAACCATTTCTGTGTTGATTTTGATGTATGTTTGGGGTCACTGTCTTGTTGAAAGGTCCACCTACAGACAAGTCTCAACCTCCTGGCTGAAGGCAACCAGGTTTTGGGCTTGGGCTGGTACTTAGTGGAATTCATTATGCCATAAATCTTAACAAGAGCCCCTGAAACAGCCCCAAAGCATGACTGACCCACCACCATATTTTACTGTGGGTATCAGGTGCTTTTCCTTGTATGCAGTCCTCTTTTGTCGCCAAACATGCCGATGATGTGCATGGCCAAAATATTCAATTTTGGCCTCATCTGACCACAACACACAATTCCAATTGTAGTTACAATAGTGCTTGCCAAAGTACAGGAAGCTGCAATTTCTGGGTTGCGCTCAGTAAGGGCTTCTTTCGTGCAACCCTTCCAAAAAGCTTGTTGACATGGAGGTGGTATCTAACAGTTGATTTTGAAACTTCATAACCCCAAGATCCCACTAAACTGTTCAGTTCTGAAACTGTGATCTTTGGATTCTTCTTTGCCTTCGCCATCTTCCTCAATGCGCTTGTGGGCAATATGCACATGCGTCCTCTTCCTGTTCCAGACTTTTGACATTTTTTATTATTGACTTGATCAAAGAGTTGTATTTTCAACTGCTAATATATTTTTTATATCTTTTACCTGATCTGTGTAGATCAACAACCATCTGTCTCTTTTCAGCTGAAAGCTCCTTGGTTTTACCCATGGTGATGGATGACAAAGGGATTTTACATGCGTGCACCTTATATTTATACCCCAGGGAAACAGGAACTGGCAAAAAGGCAGCAATACAGTTCCTGGAGACTGAGAACAACTAAAAAGCATATAATTTCATAACATATGCCACTTTGGTTTAATTTTTAATATTCTCTAGGGATGCCGATAATTTTGACTAATATGCATTTGAGAAAAATTAATATTACTAAAAGCTTTTTTTAATGAGAATAGCTTTTATTAAAGGTAAGTAGTTTCCCAAAATGTTTGAGCAGAACATTTGAATCATTATGTGTGTTGTTTATTTTATACAATAATGTTTGCTCAATTTCATGAAGGGTGCCAATAATTCTTGAGTTGACTGTTAGACCCCCTTAAGGAAAAGCTGCCATCTATGACTCCTCTGGTTTCGTTGCTGGTAAGACACATATTATAGTACACATTGCAAGAAGTATGTGCTGTATATACTTTACACTAACCCAATTGATTGAAATCTTTTGTTTGCACATGTTGTTATTTTACCATTTTTAATTTAGAGCTGTGAAAGCAAACCACAAACTCAACTTTTTGATGAGAAAAAATATAACAGACATTGTCTTATGCATTCATCTGTGTGCAATTTGCAGAATATATGAAATGGCCCTGCAGCTACACTGACAGTTACAGGCATGGAAGTCTGGAGATCCAGCCTCCGCTGGGTTTGAAGAATCCAGAATGGGCACAATGGGACAGAGTGGCCATCTGTGCAGAGCAAAGGTGAATGCTATATTCCCAGCTAAATAAAAAAGTCAAGGGAAGAATCCAAGAGTGATCTAGCTGTCATGATTGTAGTCCCTCCCCCTTAAAGGCGCTCTGGCTCTTTCACTCTGTTCCGGGCTCTGCATTGGTTTCCGCACCAGGCGAGTCCGGGATCTGAGCCTCTGGTCCCATTCCCCCTTTTTCCCCCTGACCCTCCACCGGATCCCGCTCCGGGTTTTACTCCTATTTGTCCTTGTGTCGGATGGATCGCCCGGCTTTGGACTTTTTGCCTTCGTCTTGGATTTCCCATTGGACTCTGTTTTGGATTGTTTGCCCCGGACTCACCCCCCCAGAACACCTGCACACTATGGACAAGCCCCCTGTTTTCATTCCCAACTCCCGCATGCTTTTTTCCCCGTGTTTTCCTCACTCATCCCCGGATGCATAGGGTCCCGAAAGAACGTTTCGTTACACTAGCGGGATATTACAAAAGAAGGAATGGTGCTGGCTGTATGGGAATTTACATATTTGGCAATAGGAGGCAAAACCCTATATACAGTATATGATGAATGCCTACAGAAAACATTGGAACAGCCCTTAACTACCATGGTGTGCAGCAGCAAGTGAAGAAACAGATCCATGTTTAGAGGGCCACTAATTGAAAGCATTTTCCCCTCTTCCTCTCCACATGTGAATTTACTAAGAAATCCAAATAAATAATACTGACACCAAGAATACTTCCGACATTATTGCGTTCAAAATATGTAATTAAATATACACCAAAACATGCTTCAGGTTCTCCATTTTGCACTGCACTGAGACCTGTTAAAAAATTGTCCTTTGATTTCTGTGATATGCAATACAATTGACTCCAACTGCATTTGGCAGGAGTGTGAAGTAATGATAAAGGAGCTCTGGACCAGAAGTCCAGAACTGTGTGGACTAAGACTAACAAATCTGAACATATTTCTCCAATTACTCTTGCTTTCTTTATTTCAATTTTCAGTTGCAGTATATCTGGTTTTATTGTATATTCTGTATACAGAATGGTTTTTATAGTATAATAAAGTGCCTTAAGAATGATCTATATTGAAAGACAGTATATGAGAATGAAAATGATTGATTGATTGATGAAGATGGTTCAAATCCTGTGTTGTCCTCTTGAGCAAGGTACTTCACTCAAATTGCTGCTGTAAATGTATAAACGGGTACTATCCGGGTAGTTGTTGTAAATCAACATTTGTTTTGGATTTATTTATCTGGTTAAATAAGGGAGTAAAAATGAATAGACAAAATATGTCAAACACCAGTACAGTCCCTTCTAACAAAAGCCTGTAAGACGCAGGTCAGTACTGTTATTTCTGTGACACTTAAGACAGGGATTGAAACAGTACTTTAGTATTAATATACAGTACTGCTAACAAAAACATACACATCTGTTGCACTTCAACATG